TCACACTGACTCATGTCTCTGTGGAAAGAGAGCAGAATGCCATCTGGTGGGAAAGGAACATCTTTGACCCTGGGGGGCCAGGGGTTGGGGGGGCTATCATTAACTTCTTTTGGATTAAGTATTTCTTCTCTGACAGTATACACAGAAAGCTGGAGATGATGGGAAGATGTTTTCACTCTTTTGTACTTGTTGAATTTTGAACCATGTGACTATTTTATATATTAAAAAACTATTAAAAATAGAACACTCTCTACTAAGAACCTAGAATAAAAACTAAAGGTAGAATTTCTTTTAACATTGATTAACTCATACAACTTTATATTCCGAAAGTATTTTTAAGACTACATATATAAAAGAATAGTACAAGCTGTTAAATTAACTTTATTTTTATTTAACATAACTAAGGAAGTAACAAGTATGTTTTAATGTAATAAAAATTGTAACAGATGAATTTACCATCTACATTTCAAAGAATTTCCACAATTATTTTAGTTTAGCCAAACACTTAATGTTTGAATTTTACCATTTTTGAAATGTAAAATGCACAATTATAATATCCATATTAACTATTTTGCAATTTTAAGGTTTGCACTAAAATGTGTCTCCGCAGGAAAAAGCAAGAGTTCTCCTACACTAAGTACAAATAAAATTATTACTAATAAAGTGCCAATGTATTAGACAATGTCATTTCAACTATTTCCTTTTTCGAGGAGGACATGTTTAATTTCAAAAGCACATAACAGGATAGAACTAGAATGAATATTTGCATTATACTTTGTAACAAGCACAAAAGTGCTTATCATAGTAGATATTAACAACAGTAAAGAATTTCTCAAGAAAGTTCACAACTATGACTTACGACAGGTTTTACAGTCATCACTAATATGATTTAGTGTTCAGAGTATTTGAAAAGTACAGTCTTGAACTAAGATAAACCTAAGGCTAACAATACTTAGAAATACTTGTAGGGACTTTATATAAATAAAAAAATTTTTTTTTTCTATTAAAGGAGGTTTCTACCTGTTCTAAGGAAGGGGTAAGGGATAGCAGTGGAGAGCAAAGTTTGGCAACAAAGTATGTTTCTAGCAGGTGAAGCCTGATAGGCATTGCTACTAAGATGCATTTTTACATAAGGAAAATGAGTTTATTAGATGTATATAGCACTTCTCAGGCACTTGACCACACTTGGTAGTAATGTTCAGAATTTTTTTTTTAAAGGAAAACATTCAATTATATAATGATTTCAAGTCATGTTCTTACAAAACATCTGTGTTCTGTAAGCTAAGTCCAAATGTTCCCTGCTAAAATCAAATAATGATGCCATATACCCAATTCAGAGAAAAAAAAATTACTTGATTGAATTCTCCCAATTTTAAGATTTCCCACTATAAATTTGTCTTAAGCCTTTGTTGCCTATTACTTGTTGCATTGCTAGGAAAAAAAAAAAAAAAAAGGCTTGAAAACTATGAAGTAGTATGCCTAAGTAATATTAGAAAATTTTAAACTGTTGATCATGATTTGTTCAATAGCTTATTCTGTTAATGGACATAAGCCTATAGTTTTGCTCTTATACTGCTTAAGGGCCACCATGTTCTCATAGTAAATGTATTCCTAGTTCATACTATAGAATTCAATACGTAAACCATTTAGTGTACCCAAAAGAGCATTATGAATTTTCTATTTGTTTTCCTATGTTTGAGAACCATTACATTATTGTCTGGCTCTAAAACTATCTTTGGAGTCCATGTCAAGGGAATGATTTCAGATATATCACTAAGGTTACAGTTCTAAGATAATATTACTAAATTCTATTCTAAAGTGAAAAAGTATTTCAAGATTCCAGTCTAGATTCTACCATTGTTTCCACTTTTTTCCCTAGAATATTTAGTGTGCACTTGAATATGCTGAAATTAAGGATTTTTTATTTGTAAGTATCACTGTATTAAATTTGGGTGAAATTTTCAATATACTTTCAGGCAGTTAACTTTAAAATATTTAAAAGTTTAGCTCTTAGCACAACAGCCCTGAGAACAATGCATTCAAATTACAGTCCAACTAGAAAATCTAGCTGAGAAACCTTAAAGTACAAAAAAAAAAATTCTGGAAAAGTTGTAAAAAAAAAAAAAGTTAGCAACATTTTGAGGCACTACCAGACTACAGTACTTTAAGAGTTGGAAGGAATTTGCAAAAACAACAAACGTACATAGCTATGTGTGCACATGCACACATTCATATTGTGCTGTAATGAAAAACTGTCCCCAAATTGTATAGACTAAACATTCTATTGCAGCATCTCCTATTAAAGATAGCATGCTCTGTCTGCAGGAAGAGTTTTGGTAATTAATATAAAGCATTGGTACAGAAGCTTGTACCATAAGTGGAAACAGAGTCAAGAGCTTGGTTAGCAACAGTTTCTTAAGTGACTGGCAGCCCTTGGAGAAGAGCATGAAAGAAACATCATAATTATGTTTATGATGCAAATGCTAAGTCAAAGTAGTAATGATTTTATCTATTTCAGAGGGTATACAACTTTGCAGCAAATAAGACACAATAAAGTTTGTCACAGTAGTTATAAAATGTTGTTCTAGAAAGAAACACACATTTGACCTATTAATACTGTATATAAACTGGTGAAGTTCCTGCAGGCAAAAATGGTGCTTCACTGTGTATAATGTATCAGCATGATAGTCTACATTCTATACACGGTAAGTGAGATACTTAACATTTGCTCCAAAAATGCGCAACAAATACTAAAGATCAATTTTCAACATTTCTCTGATGTCAAAAAAGAATGAAGTTACTTCTGTTCTATGTTAGAAAATGTTTCTTGCTTCCTTTTAGTACAATATGTAAAGCTTTACTAAATGAAATACTTTGTTCAGGAGAAGCATCTATTGACTTATGTGAAAATAAACAGTCCTATATTTTTAAAATCATTACTTATTATTCTAAGTCAGAAGAGTATTTACATTTCATATAGAACATAAAATGAAATATTATGCATAAATAGCTTTTGCCATTCAAGGTATGAAAACAGAGATGCATTATTATAATTTGTACACCCTTACATTGCAATTGGACATATATTTATGTGAAGTTTGACAAGATAGGAAGAAGGGCATGCTAATCCAGAATAAATATTAAGCCAGAACATTAGTACAGTTAACTACATGAATGGTCAGCAAGCAGCACAAGACTGATAACTTTCTAGAATTCCTGTGGGTAACAATACCAACCAGTAGCAAGTAAGATATACAGTACAGAGTACCAAAAACTGGAGCAGTATGTAGTAGACATTTAAATAGAATATTGGAAAGAATTTAGGCTAATTCCTAATTGTGCTTTAGCTGGGCAAAAGCTAAATAAAATATTATACTCAAAATGATTAACCACAACCTCAATATTTCTTGTGCTTTACAACTCTCCTCTTCTCTCATCTTCATACTACTCTTGATTCTAAGTATCTTGCTTCTTTCCCAAATGAATTTGCTGAGGTGAAAACAAGATTTTATAGTATGCACAAACTGAGCAATTAAAACCATGGGCTCTTCTGCTCCTAATGCTCTTCCCAGTCACTGATTAGATCAGTTGCAGCAGCATACTATATGTATGTTCTTCTAGATGACAGGAACAAAGGCATTTAGAGGTCAAGGTATGCTAGAAGAGGTCTCACAACCAGTCTGAAGAGAATTCAGTATTAATGAAACAGTAATTCTGTTCTACATTTCATTCCCATGTAATGATTGTTACTGAGTCTAAGGTCCTCACAAACACTGTAACAATTTCTAGAATTTGGAAGTAAGATATATATGATCCCAAAGACTAATCAAAAATGTAGTGGCATCACTGAAAACACCTTTTAAAATAATTCAATTTGCAGAATTCTTTCCTAGCTGTTTCACACTAGTAACTGAATTAAGTCATATGACAATCAGAAAAATGTATGCACTTCTTAAATAATTATAAAAGAAAGTAACATTACTTCCATGATTTACTTTCATTTCGTTTTAGAAAAAAAGTACATAAATTTAACAACTTTTCCTAATTAATTAAAATAAGAGTTTCCAGTTTTTGTCTGACAAATATCTTAATGTCAAAATATCTACTTAAAAATGGTAGAGAGAAGTGATTACTAATAAATACCAACACTTACTGAATGTGGTTGGAAGAAAAACAAAACACTGCAGTGTCCTGTCAATCAGGTTACTTCTCTATGTACACAGACAGAATGACAGAGAGAGAGAAATGGAAAACAAAAATTAAAAGCACACACAGCTAAAAGGCAACTTTCTATTTTTCATGCTGATTACAAAAGGCCTCAAATGAAAACTTAGAGCTTGAACCATTCCTCTTTGCCACTATCCCTTGTGTCTTCTTTACATATTTACCCAATAGTGCAATCCCCCTGTCAACCACAAGCAGGTACTAAAACTACCATATAAATGTATATTAAATCTGCCAACAATTTGGCAAAGAATAATACAACTCAGATAACACAGGTGGTTACACATGACCACCGAAATAACTGACCATTTTTGATAACATGATATTTGTTCACCTTAAAGATCTGTGCTTGCCACACATAGGGTAAAAATGTGATCGTTCCCTCCATAAATATATTTATCCTGTGATATTAAGTATGAAATTAGTGTGGAACAATTCAACTTATGTATGTGGTACTTTAATACCACTAGATGCTACATTGGTTGATTTAAAACCCTGGTTTTCCATCATTTAACTAAAATTCAGGAATGATTTGCTCAGATAAAGCACATCTGCTAAAGTTACTTTGTCTTTTTCTTGGACTCACATACTGAAAACCACAGGAATGTTATAGGAAAGATATCTACAACATTAAAAAACAGAATTATACATCTTGATTGTTTTTTTAAACTGCCAATTCCCTGCAAAATCAACCCAGCACAATTTCAAAACAATTAAAAAGAAATGAGGTTGCTTATGAAGGCCATAGCTTTGGTGACAACTTGGAACCCAACTTCAGATCTGCAGTAGATTCAGATCTAAACAGTTTGCTCATTTCTGGTGATGCCATTTATTTGCAGGGCTTTATGGCTACAGCATATTCTTCACTCATTGCACACATAACAGACACCTGGAAGGAAAAATGCAGACAAAATGTTACTCAGAAGATAATACATATATAAATATCAAATGCATTTAATCCATCATTACTATATATTTGACGATATTCTGTACATATCAACTCTGGAAAGGGGTCCTCTAGGACCAAATAATCTACTTCCATTTGTTTTCTAAAGTAAAAATTCTCAGAGAGCATAAGAGTTACAAATGTTTAGACACTAATTAGCTGTTACACTTTTAAAAGTTATAAAAATAGTCAGTCTCCTTTACTCCTTGGCACCCTCACAGCATTCCTTTGGTCATCTTCAAAAATCACTGAGCTGCAGATCTTCAAAGCAAATTTGGGATTCATAGTGCCTCTGTCACAATAATTGAGCTTTGACACTTTCTTCGGTAACGGGGTCTGAGAGCTTCACGGAAAAAACTGTCTTATAGGTTTTTACCTGAACATCTTCACCTGCATTGTATTTTCCTTCTATCTCCTTGCCTAGTTCACCTTCTGGCAACTTAAGATCCTCACGAACTTCACCAGTTTCTGTCAGCAGGGAAAGGTAACCATCCTGAATGCATATCAGCTATTAAAAAAAATTATATCATTTGCACTGATTAGATTATATTTACTCCTTTGTAATATTTACATAAATTATAATTCATGCTAATTTGTGTAACTACACAGTAATATATTGATATATCACTGATGTTTTAAAAATATAAAAGTATAAAATATGTATAGAAATGTAAGTTCACTTCTCTTTACACCCCCATCTCTGTATTATTAAACAAGCCAGACTTCTTTAGAGTATATCCTGAAGCATTTACAACATTATGCATACAATGCAAAAATAACTGCTTTTTAAAAAAACAGATGCATTTTTCAGCAAGTTGCTTTACTGACTTAATAATACATGTCTTGGTAATCTTTCCAAATCAGAAAATATGGACTTACCTTTTTGTTGTTGTTGTTGTTGTTTTGTGCCATCAAGTCAAACCCGACTCATAGCGACCCCTCCTTGGGTTTCCGAGGCAGTATCACTACGGAAGTAGGATTGCCCAACCTTCCTTCCGAGGACTTACCTTAGTCTTTTAAATCATTATACAACTACATGGATATATTGTAATTGATTTAACCATTTTCCCATGAATGGGCATAAGAGTCATTTTCAGTTTTTCCTATTACAATGTGCTTTTTAATTTAATATGAACAAATTAAACGGAAAATTTTGGGTTTCTAACTCACTGCTAGCAACACTAGATTTTCTTTTCTTAGAAAAACACTTTAAACTCAAAACTCACTGCCATCGAGTCGATTCCAACTCATAGTGACCCCCACTGCATTTCCAAGGCTGTAAGATCTTTACAGAAGCTGCCTCATCTTTCTCTGCAGAGTGGCTGGTAGGTTCAAATCACTGACTTTGGGTAGCAGCCAAGTGCTTTAACCACTACACCAGCAGAGCCCCTTAGACAAAATACTAGCTTGTTGAAAACATTAATAAACTAAACTCAGTCATCAACTTAATTTGGAAAAAGGTACAGTTTTGATATAAACAAATTTCTAGTATTGAGGCATGAAAAAACAGTCAACACCCTATTCATTTATTCTAAAGGCATATATACTGTCATTTTGACTAGAACGCCAACAGGTGTTATAAAAGGCAATCATTCAGATTATCAGCACCCCCGCCCCAGCCCAAGACTATCAGCCTCTAACATTTACATGTACCACTTTGATGCTGTAGAGTTAAGAGTTTCAGAGTTCCCCACTTTGGCAGTATTAAATCTGTCGAAAGCTCCCCACAGAAATTCCACCTAACACAGGATATCTGAGTTTTTGCATACCATCTTCTATCCCCAAAACAGCCACAAAAAAAAAAAAAAAAAATCCTTTATACAAAGCAACAACCACCTTGAATTAATCTTTTACTCACTCAAACATTTGTAGGGTGGTTCGTGAACGGTGGGGAGCAAGTAGGCTGAGGTAGAAATGCTTACAAGACAGATCTTTCTGACTTCTACTTTTTAAGCTATTCCATCAAGAAAAATTTGTCTATCTCAAGAGTTAAAGGTTCTTACTGCCATTAGTGACTGAAACATAGGAGCCAAATAACACTAGTATTTTTATTTATATAATGATGGTATTTTATAAGAATTAAAAATTCATAAACTGAAATGAAATATATAAATCATTTCAAATGGAAAAATGTGTACATATTAAAAATCTAATACAAACATTAAACATATTAAAATAAATTTCTATATGAAATAAAAATGGAAGTACTAAAAAATAAACTAAGCTATAAAAAATAATAATCTGTTCTTTTAAAATTCTTTAATTAAAAAAAAATGATTTACAGGAAAGTTGAACCAATAATGCACTGAAATCCTGTATCTTCACCTAAATTTACCCATTGGTAACATTTACCCACACATGCTTTTCCTCTTTCTATATATACATATCTAGATATCCACACACACACACACACACACACACACACACACACCTACATACATATATACATATATATGTGGAGAAGAATGCTGGCGGTTCAAACCCACCAGCCACTCCTTGGAAGGAAGGTTGGGCAATCTACTTCTGTAGCAATACTGCCTCGGAAACCCAAGGAGGGGTTGCTATGAGTCAGGTCTGACTCCATGGCACATAACAACAACAACAACATGTGGAACTCTGGTGGTGCAGTGGTTAAGTGCTTGGCTGGTAACCGAACCCACCAGCCACTCCACAGGATTAAGACCTGGTGGTCTGCTCACATAAAGATTACAGCCTATGAAATCCAGTGGGGCAATTTTACTGTATCACGTGGAGTCACTATTAGTCAGAATTGATGGCACATGACAACATATATGTATGTATATATATACGTAGCTCATCTCTCTTAATCTGGAACAGTTCTTACCCTTTGTCTTTCATGCCATGACATTCTTGAAGAGTAGAGGTTCACTGTTTTGTACAGGGTTCCTCAGTTTGGGTTTGTCTGTTTCCTCATGATTCAGGTAATGCATTTTTAGCAAGAATACTACATAAATTATGTTTCCTCAGAGTAACACATCAGGAGGCAAATGGTATCAATTTGTCCTATTACTGGTGAAGTTAATCTTGATTACTTGGCTGAAGTGGTATGTGTCAGAATTTTCTACTCTAAAGGTACCCTCATTCACTTCATAGTGACCATATAGGACAGGGTAGAACTACCCCCAGGGTTTCCAAGGCTTTAATCTTTATGAAGGAGCTCTGGTAGCATGGTGTCTAAGGCACTTGACTGCTAACCAGAAGGCTAGTGGTTCAAACCCACCAGCCATTCCTTGGAATGAAGGTTGGGCAATCTACTTCTGTAGTGATAATGCCTTGGCAACCCAAGGAGGGGTAGCTATGAGTTGGGTCCGACTTGATGGCACATAACAACAACAATCTTTATCAAGGCAGACTGCCTCATCTTTCTCCAGCAGAACAATTGGTGGGTTTGAACCACTGTACCATCAAGGTTCAGAACTGACTCAACGGCAATGGGTTTGGTTCTTTTGGTGAAAGGTGCCCTTTTTTCCTCTATAATCTGCAATCTTTAAAAAGCCAACTTTGTCATTGTTAAGTCTCAAGCATGTTTTTGGGCAGTTTTTTCCATCTTCTCTCAAAGCCCCCTCTGATTTACAGAGTTGGAAGGAAGCAATGGTGAGAAGACAGTCACAGTAGCCAATTCTAAATATTTTCTTCTGCTTAGTCACCTTTAAACACCGTACTTATCTGGTAACTTTGAGATGCTTTTGAACAATTTTTTTTGGTGGGGGTAGTGATGAGAGATGAGATGAGAGAGAGCAGGGTCAGAAAATCTGGAGTAAAGGTGGGAGGCAGGAGATGGTATACTACCATGCTGCTGACTGACACATGAAATATTATTATAACCAAAAAATAGCAGTACCAGAATGTAGCATCTATTATTTCCTACTAATAGATTCTACAGCTCTTTGGAAAATGGATAATTCCAGGTAAAGGGCAGGAAGGATACAAAATGCACTGGAAGTAGATGTTATACTAGAAAGCAAGGATGCTATCAAAGACAACTTGGACCATTTCAAAAGAACACAGGAACTAACCTGAATAAGCACTCACTGGTCAAAGAGTAACTTTCGAATAGTTAAGGATAATCACTACAATGGATTGAAACACGTATGTTTAAATGCCAAGTTCAAAGAGAAAAAACAATGTTTATTTTCAGTATATGCTGGGAAAGAACTCACTTTGAAAAGTGGTAATTAAAGGGAAAGAACGAAGCATTAATTCTTTATTTTTATTTATTTATTTATTGTGATTTGGGTGAAGATTTATGAAGCATTAATTCTTATTAATGAAATACACACACACTCATACTATACAATGGGGTGAAATAAAAAAATAATGGAAGTTTCTGTTTATAGAATTGCTCTGGCTTAAAAAAAAATGACACATCACTAATCATCCCTCTCCTAATAGATTAATGGATTGAAGCAATAATCAGAAATCTAATGTCACAAAGAGAGAAACAAACAGACTTATTTATTTGATTTTTGCATAGAACATCACCTATGGCTCAGTCTTGTTTAAAAAAAAAAAAAGAAGAAGAAAATAAAAATCTAAACTGAATCTGACCAAATATCTACATCTAATTACTAATTTTCAGGATGTAAGGGATCCTGATGTGCAAGGGAAGAGGAACATACCAATTAACAAGGAAACACAATCAGCAAAATCCACAAAAGTATATATTATAAATGTAATATATAAAATACAGAAAGTTTATAGAATTATCCAGTTTCTTTACCAAAAAATTGGAAAACAAAGTGAGTAAGCAAGTGAGTGAGAGAGAATAAGAGAGAAAGAGAATGAATATGGGAAAGGGAAAGAGGGAGGGTGGAAGCTGAACAGATTTAAGAGAGAAACCAATCAATTTCAATGTGTAGACCTTACTTAGGCCTTGATTTACATGGTAGCATAGTGCCTAAGGCACTTGACTGCTCACCAGAAGGCTGGCGGTTCAAACCCACCAGCCACTCCTCGGAAGGAAGGTTGGGCAATCCTACTTCCGTAGTGATACTGCCTCGGAAACCCAAGGAGGGGTCGCTATGAGTCGGGGCTGACTCGACGGCAAACAACAACAACAACAACAACAATAAAACAAAAACAACTACCATCATACCCAAACAAAGCAAAATAAATAATAAAACAATTAAAATATAAATACTAATTGGATATTTGATATTAAAGCATTATTAATTTTTAGGTGTGATACTGCTCCTTAGATGTAAGAGTAGTTAGACTTTGTCTCACATACTTTGGACATGTTGTCAGAAGGGATCAGTCCCTGGAGAAGGACATCATGCTTGGTGAAGTACAGGGTCAGTGAAAAAGAGGAAACCTTCAATGAGATGGATTGACACAGTGGCTGCAACAATGGGCTCAAACACAGAAATGACTATGAGGATGGTATAGGACCGGGCGATGATTCATTCTGTTGAACACAGGATTGCTATGAATTGTACCTGACTCAATGGCACTGAAAAACAACTTTTTGATTTTGATTTTTAGAGT